AAACAATAAGAAAGGTAAAAGAAAATAATAAACCCGTTCTTCACATATCTATACAGGTCTCAACCATAGCAAGCCATGATTTATGTAAACATGGCTTATTGAATAAACTATTATTTATTAATTGTGTTTGGTGCACGTCTCGCTGCATGGCTTACAGAAATGGAATCAGATGTGTTATTCAGCCGGTTCAGACCGGTTCACCTGAACCGGTAGTGGAAATCACGGGTGGCCCCGCCCACTCACCCCAGTTCTATGGCATCCCATTTAGGCCATTTTTTTAGCCAAAGCTCATCTGCGGAGGCCTGAGCGCATGCACCGACGGGATGCGTGTGCCAGTGGTTGGTTCCTAACTGGTTTACTACCATTTTGCCCATGCTTGCATGCGTACTCACACACTCATGCATGCCTGCAACTCTTCTGCGCATGTGCAAAAGCTTTTGCGCATAAAGCATCCAGGTGGGTGAGCGGAGCCTCCCGCCACCGCCACTATCGGTTTGGGAGAACCAGGCCGAACCAGGAGCAACCCACCTGTGGCGTATGCTGACATTTGTGAACCAGTAGGGAAGGTAAGTGAATACCACCCCTGAATGGAATGGGCTTGAAGAAGACACTAAGCAATATATGGTGGCTTGCAAATCACAGTGGTGGATCTAACTGAACATATTAAGTGAAACGAACCAGATTATAGCTAAATGGAACTCCGTCACACTCTTATTTGTCTGCAGCTCTCCAATATGGTTATTCTATTAATGTCAATGGAGGCAACGATCCATAGATACATTCCACTAACTCTGTTGAAAATATTACATAGTCATTCTCTGCAACAGAAATTGCCTGAACAATTCCAAGAACTGACAAATGTATAAATTTCACACACATGATCTAAAAGTAAAAATGAAATGAAAGTGGATGAAAGTCATCTACTGCAGTTTTCTCAACCTTGGTAACAGTAACATATGTGAACTTCAGTTCCCAGAATTCCCAGGTCAGCATGCTGGCTGGAGAACTCTGTTGGTTGAAGTTCAAACAAGCCAAGATGGAAACATTTTTTTCAAATATTTTTATTTTTATTTTCCAGTAATAAACATACATAATTTGTGGACATTGTATTGACTGGGTCAAATCTTTCTTGGACAACATTAACAACAATAATACAAATAGTATGTGAAATTCTTATCTTCCAACTTCAACAATATTTATCTCACATCATATTCCTTTTACATTTCTCCATTAATTCATTTAAACATAAATATCATTTCTTTGCACCCTGTATTTGTTATCCCGTGATAACAAATATAGAGTGTTGTTATTGTCCTTCAATATTATGAAAATCACTCACTATTCCACCATAGCTTCAATGTTCCAAATGTGTGGAATTACTAATAACACCAATTATTAACAATATTCAATCCATCACGGGAGTACAATATATTTTAACACACTATTAATATTAATAATACAGTTACTTTACCTAATCTTGGATTACCATCTACTAATCCGCACTTATTGGGATTATGGTTTTTTTTACCCATTTTATTAATATACTTTCTCATTATCCATCATCTCTTAATCTTTCTAGAATTCCATCATTTATTGATTTTTTTGGTCAATCTTTTATCTCTCTCTCTCGAGCCAAGATTGAAATGTTACATTGTTAGAATGCAGTATTATAGGTTAACTCTTCCCACATCGCTAGGAGTTCGATTCCTTCAATCCTGACTGGCTCAAGGTTGACTCAGCTTTCCATCCTTTCGAGGNTATATATATTATTTATTTATATATATTTATATATATATTATTTATTTATATATATTTATTTATATATAATTTATATTATATTTTATTAATATTATTATTATTATTATTATTATTATTATTATTATCTCTTTTATTCATTAAACATGAAAATCAGTCAACTGAATATTTAAAAATGTGTCACAAATACCATTGACTGGTGCTAATGGTGGATACAGGTTGCTGCCAGTGTACTAGGTATCAATCAAGTATCTTCTTAAAATATATGATGTTCCAAATAGCACAGTTTTTTTCAGTACCACTGGTGTTATTGCAGGAAGCTACAATTTCTTGATGTGTTTTGTAAAATTCTTGGAGATGGCATGACGTGACAAGGCATACAAACCACATTATGTCAGAGCATTTTTAAATCACAAGAAATGTCATTGTGTTTGTCTACCTTTAGAAGGTTCCTTCACGCTACTTAAGGGTTCTGCTGTCCCTGATGGACTCCAACTATGATAGAATAAGTGGAAAAACTGTAACTGATTCTCTTAAACTGTGCTGCATGCATAACATTAACAAAGTTATTTGCATTATTCGCTTGGTAAAGATCAACAAAGACAACCATTCAAATAAAAGCAACCAGGGCTTGGACTGCTAACACGTGGCTCTGTCTTTGACCAGGAATTTCATCTTCTACCCAAATGGAGGCAAACAGAACATGTGAAGAAAAATTAGTAGAACCTGCCTACATTGTTTCAGCCAATATTCTGTGTAGTGCTGGAGGTGGGAGTGAGTGGGAAATGTTTTGACCTCTAGATGGCAGCATATTTTTTAAAAATAGTAAGACTATTAATAGTGTCAAAAGATGCACATAGTATTTAAAAAAATAAATTAAAAAAATCAGGTGCATATTAATAGAGATTTCTTCAAATCCTGGCTAGAAAAAGTAAGATCTGCCAATGTATCTGACCCAGTAAGATAACCAACTGAAACCAGAGATAAGTCACTTTTTCCCAGGAGGGACCAAGTTTGCTATTTAGATAGGCCAATCCTCCTAGCAGCGTCCAACCTCAATGATCAGAGGCAGCAAAACATTGGGTATTCTCTATCTTCGTGAGAGGTCTGGCATACAAAAAGCAAGAGATTGCCTTTTCATGGATTTTTTTCCCTTTAATTTGGAGAAAGACGCTTTCTGCATTTGCTAAGGTAATACAATTTCAGTTTTTTTCTGGTTAATTATAGACTGCTGTGCTCCCCTTTCTCCATACAATAGTTGGCATCCAGGTCTTGAAACCTGTATGGAGATATGCATTGTGTTGAAACTCTTCAAGGTAATTGTTTTACATCTGGCAGGGTTAATATTCTTCAAAAAGTCGTCCATTTCTGTAATTTTCAACCCACTTTTAATTCAAAATAAATAAAAATGAAGCAGTTTCAGGTGACCTGGAGGCTACAGAGGAAGAATTCATTACAGAGAATCCATGGAAGTTAGAGACCAGAAAGCAGATGATATGCCTATAGAATGCTCTCATCGGTGATTGTCACTTAGCTGTGCCACCAACAGATTGATTGGTGAAGCCTGTCAGTCTGCACCCATAACAAAGATTATGTTGGAATGGGAAGAAAACAGTAGTACTGGTACAGTGAATTCTGAAACAAAGACAACTTAAGGCTGCTTTAGATACTGTATAGGTAGTCTTCATTTAGCAACAATTCGCAGTTACAATGGTGATGAAAATGTATTCTTTTATTTATGACCCTTCAAGGTCTGTGAAGCAAAGGAAAGTTAAAGTACAGCTGTAATTTTATTTAGTGACTACTTAAGATTGAGTTTCCAGTCACAAATGTGGTCACTAAGTAAATCTATTTGTTTAGGCTGGGAATCAAATAAGACTATGTCATGAAGAAGAGCATAAAAAAAGATGTTGCTGATATATATTTGTGCTGCAATTAGATACAAGCAAAGAAAAGCTCTAATAATCAGAGGTCAATGGGCAGCTATTCCAAATATTTCTCCTAAATAGATTTTTTCCCCTTAAGAAAAATAAGACAAAATGAAAAAAAAAGGAAATAGATGATGAGGATAAGGATGATGTCTGAATCTTCCATAAAATTACATATCACAGGCATGGCAATTACTCAATCATTGCCTCATCTGGAAAAGAGGAAAAAAAAAGGTCGTTTATTTCAAAACTGGGAACAAAAACCTTGTCAGTTGGAAAAGAACCCGACAAGATATCCTGTGGTATATTATTTCAATTTCTTTTTAATGCAGTTAAAAGTAAGCAAAGATCCAGATGTTGGTTCCAGATTCGTCTCTCTTTAGAACCATAGTCTGAGAAAAATAATCACTGAGCAAGACATCCAGAGCTGAGCTGGTCTGATCCAACTATCAATCCTGCCCTCTACTGCATAGGGGCACCTCAACCAAACTACAGAGTTACCTCAGGCCCAGCAGGGAGAATTTCCTCCCCGCCCCACTCCTCAATTGAAGGCAAAAGGCAGAGCCAACCTCATCTAGCCCACACTCCAAAACACCATTAAATAATCATCCTTGATTATTATGATCTTCTCATTCTGGCCACCAGGAGCCATGATGCTAATCAATAGAAAGAACTTAGCTGCCAAGAAAATTCCAGGCTATTAGAGTTGTGCTTCCAGGAGAAAGACAGAGGAAGTCACCACAATGGCTGCCGTACCTTGCATCCTGTCAAGAGTAATGCATGCCTACCTTCCTCCCATCCAAATTTTGTAAGAACTTCTTTTGGACAACAACTTCTTTACTTTGCAATTGTTTTTTGCATGAAGGGAAATGCATATATATTAATCTGGATTCAATGTTTTTTTGATCCCTGGGAGGTTTGGGGAGCGCTATGAGTGGAAGTGAGATGGCAGCACCAGTTTGGACAAAACCATCCCATCCCACAGTGCTGTCTGGGTTATCTCCTTATTATCTCCACTTTCGGAAGCCAAGCAACTTTATAGCATCAGTTTCAATTTCTTCTGCACGTACACAGACATGGCTACTTCCAATTATTTTGTCTCCAATCTTGTATTATACCTATAGACAAAATTATTCAAACCAGCTGTAAAGCTAAAAAAAACCATTCACCTATAACCACAAGGGAGCAGTAAAGAATAAAGGAACATGGTTTAGTAGTCCTATAGGGTGGTGTTTTTTTTTAAAGAAATGAATTTCTGAGGTGTGGCCTTAGCTCTTATAGAGATTTGATTGGCTTGAAAAGGTGATTCATCTAATAGGCTGAAACAATTTCTTCATATTACTTAAGAGTGTAAAGTGCTTTGTCAAGTGTAAAGATATTGAGACTAGTCCAGATTGATTTTGGAGTTAGTTGGTGCCCTTAAAGGTAAGTTCCTTGTGTATTTATGAACTTATGACAAAGGATCTTTGTTTCTAAGAATTCTTGCATATTTGAAAAAGAAGATTGATATGCATAAGACATAGCCTCAGTTTTTAATTTGACCTCAGTAAAAGGAAGTGAGGATTATTTAATATTTATTTCTTTAAAACAAAAGGACTTGTTTGTTGTTTTTAACTGCCTTTTTATCTGTGCTATTTACTCTGATATTATATCTAATTTCTTTTCTTTTGTTGTTGTTATTGCAATATATCAAACAATTCTAAAGATTTAAAAATCAGCTCCAGAATAACTTCTTTTGTAGTAACACCAAGGCTACTAAAGGTGAGGTTGTAGGGGAACATATCTGTTTTAACCTTATTTGTCCATACCACTTTGTCACTTCCATTAATGCAACTGGAGATTCAGCAATTCAACTTGTAAAAAAATATGATATAATAATTGATCAGCAACTGAATATGAATCAATAATGTGTTGTTGCTGCTGATGTAAAAAGTCAAATGTTGTTTTAGACTTTATACTTATAATTTCTAAATCATAGGAAAATAACTGTTTGATTTGATTTGAATAGTTCTGTTTTATTTCTGTACTGACAAGATCCTGCCTTGAAGTACTACACCAGTCAAACAAACTGGAACAGTTTCAAGGAAAGGCAACAAGAATGATCAGGAGACTAGAAATTAAGTCCTAAAAACAGAGCTTGGTAATATTGGGAAAATTTAGCCTTAAACTGAGAAGATACAGATGATGCAATAATACTTGAAAAAGGCAAAAGCCACTCTTTCAAATCCTAGATTTAAGACAAGTGATTCCAATTAAATGTTGGAAAGAAAAGTCTTAACAATAAGAACAATTTAGTGTTGAACCAAATTCTGAGGGTCAAGAAGAGTCTAGACAAGAATCTTTTGGGGATATTTTAATCTGGATTATGGCAAGAAGTGGGAGTTAAGCTCTTTTCAATTCTGATACTGCCAGTGCTGACCTGGGACAATGGCATCAACTAGCTTCTGCTATGAAAATCATCAGGTGAAGAAAAAAAGATTAGTGGATAAAGTCTGCTGGGTTTTTCTTATTATTTCCTTTTAAATTAGCATATCTTTCTAGTGCTCTGCAGAATGGATATTGGTCTTAAGGGTGTCTAAAAAGATTGTAGTCTAAACCAGAGCTCCATATACTGGAGCTCAGCTTCTATAAATTTGGTCATTGTGGCTCCAGGAGGAAGTGATGTGAATTAATGGGACATTGGCCTTTTAGGCCAACACATCTTTACTTTTAGATCAATGCATAAGCCTCTTACCCCAATATTGCCCAACAATCTATATATATAAAAGCCAAGTACCACTCACTCATCACAAAATCTCCAGAACTGTAAAGCCTACAAGCTTGAAATTTGGCACATATGTTTCTCTTGGCTTCTGGGTGTTCACTAAGAAAGGATTTTTTGAAATGACCATGAGATCATTAGTATTTCTTATACAGTAGTTTACATGCTTTGATGTTAAGGAGTTCTACTTCCCCTCCCCACCTGAAAAGAACTCTGTTCCAATGCCAGTTGCCTTATATTAACATGCTCTGATGCTAAGGAGTTAGGCATTCTACTCCCCCTCCCCACCTGAAAAGAACTCTGTTCCAACTGCCAGTTGCCTCACACAAACTGGCAGACATTCCACTCTTTCACTCAGGAGTGGTCTGGGGCTCCTTACAGTATTAAACCTTGGTACCTCACCAATGTCTATGCCTTCCACCCATGGAAATACGTCTGGGCTCAAGACAGTGGGAGCAATATTCCCTTATGTGTTTCAATCAACAACCACCACTGAGCCAACAGATTGTGAACTGAATTTCTCCTGCATAGCCCAATCACATAGTTTTGTTGCGAAGCATGAGTATCCAGCTAGTATCCATATAATAATAAAATTAAGAATTGGCTTTTACTCTCAAAGAAACCCCTTTGAATGTCACACTGAGAGTTTGTAAATTACCAGACCATAAGTTGAAATTTGTGTCCATATTTTTGAATATTGGTTGGGTTTAGTTTTCTAAAAGTTTCTTGATCTGCTGTTTGTTAAGTTCTTCGTTATTTGTTTTTACAGCTGTCAAGATGAGCTGCTTTACATTCCTGAAGGTCATGATGATTTTGTTTAACCTGCTCATATTTGTGAGTACTTACCTCTTTTTTTTATAAATAAGCAGTGAGATGCTTTGCATTCTTGTAAAAGAATGAGTGGATGAGAGAACCTTTTTCACCTCCTTTTAGCTCCATGTCTGTATGTTTAATAGGTATGAAACAAGACATATGTGAAGCTGAAACCCAAACTCAAAGCAACATATTTAGAATTCTAATGAAGGACAGATTAGGCCATCAAGTTTATTCTTCTCTATAAGAGCATATCAGGCAGGTATCGGTTTACAGCACATTATTAGCATGTTTATGGCAAGTTGTGTCTTTATCTTACAATTAATCTCTGGTGATCATATGCTGTAGCAACCTTTGCCAACTCAGTTCTACCAGTCAACTATGAATGATTTAATAGAAACAAGATGCAGCATGTGAATAATCATTGGGTACTATAAAATATGTGGTAGGAGATGGTACAACTACAATATAGGTATAATCCCTGGTTAGCAAAATAGGAAGTTTTCTGGGGGACAAATTTGTGACAGTCCTTGGGAAAGAACACATANAGGAAGGAAGGAAGGAAGGAAGGAAGGAAGGAAGGAAGGAAGGAAGGATCAGTGCCCAAACCTCTTCTCCCTTAGTCATGATTCTACTATTGTTTTATCTGCTTGTCCCATAAATTCATGGTAAACAGTCTTAGAAGCTGTATTAGATGATCTGCTGGCCTCTTCATACTTGTATGTTGCGGCTTCTAATGAGGTATAGGTTGCATCATATATTCAGTGAAACTGAAGATTGCCTGCAAATATTAGTTGTAGTTACAGATTAAACTATTTCAAAATAACATGAAAGTCATTTAATAGTATGGTTGGCTTGTAGGATTTTTTTTCTGTGTTTCTAGCTGGTTTTTTGGGCTGCAATACTGGTAGAACAATTAGAAGTGTTGCTGTGAAGTTGTTTTAGGTTGTATTACAGGAAGTCCTTCTAAGGAAATATGCTTTTCTGCAAAGAAAGGCCAAGCCTCAAATTGATAATGGACAACTTGAGTACAATTGTGGCTCAAGACAAAGGTAGTCATTAAAACCTGTTCATGTTTCTCGGACAAACTGAGTCAGTTTTATGGTTTCTGTGGGTGTGGCTTTGATGTCATACTTGTTCTATAAATGTTATTTCAAAAAGCAGTGCAGTCGTCTTTCTCCATACCTGGCTAATGTTCTCAAGGAAGTCTTGAATGTCAACTTGAACTGATACCTTTAGCATACACTTAATTTCAAAGCTTGAAGAAAGAGCAATTGCTCATACAGCTCTTGCTAAACATCCTGTGGCTGTATTTGAAGTAAACTCTGTTAGGAGGCCCAGATATATACCGTACAGTGGAGACCAATGAGGTCACAAAACTGTTAAGAACCATAACAAGGGTGTGCTACCTTTTAGAGGCCAGGAGTCACAAGTGACCTTCTTTGGAAGGAATTGTAACCCAGGTATGAATGAAATGTGATACATTTGAAGTTTTTCTTGGTCTTTTACAAGGGTGTTTTGAAGGGAGGGCAGTAAGAAACATCATTGAAACTATTTTTAGGATCTACATTACAATGGTCTTGCCTCAGATGGTGAAATATTGAGTCTCAAAGGGTACCACTGATTTTTTTTAGTAGTAGTAAAAAATATTCCTTGAGGGGTGAAAAGTATTAGGGACAATGGCTGGGTCCCAGAATTGCAGGTTGATTTTCCCCCCACTTAATTCTACAGATGCATATGCTTCCCATTTGCAAAGGGTTTGGACTACTAAAAGGGTAAAAAGATTGGTGTTTCAGCCCCCTCTTACAATCCCTCCAAAAGGGTTATATAGAGCAAGCAAGTAGTTCATGTGTATATTGTGCTGAAGGGAAAGAATGCAGTTTGGAGCTAATATTTGGATGTTTCTCCTCTCCCTCCTGTCCTTGCTGCTTACTAGGAAACTCATCTGACTATGAAAATCAAAATGCAAATAAAAAGAAATATTTACATAATATTTTTATTTGGTGCTATAATTCAGCATGGAGCAAGAGCTATTCCCCCCCAAGAACAATGGCTAAGTAGGTACGTTGGCCTCAGAGAAAGATTGCCCTAAGTTACCCAATGGATTTTCACGGTTGAAGAAGTGGGGATCTTTTCACTTCTTTTCCAACACCTTAACCACTAGCACATACTTGGCTTCTATGGGGAACAATATAAATTAATGTCTGAGAAACTTTTGATGACTGCAGGTAGAAGGGCATATCTTCCTGACTATGCCTGCTTGATATGTGGCCAAGTGATGACAATTATATTATAATAATATGTGGTAATTGGTGACCAGTCTCATAAATTATATTACACCAAAACCATACAATCGCATCAAGGCATAATACAATAACTGGAGCACCACTTGAACACAATTGGCATTAACATCAGTCAATTGCAAAAACTGTCTTTACTCTGAACAGTTTACATCCTGCAACAATATCTGTGACACTATAAAACATCCGTATCTGCCTTATCCCGGATCCTCGGAAAGGACTTGACAGGTAGACAAAAATGTCACATCCAGTCTGAACATCTGGGTGATTGTGTGACAAATCATAATAATTTAGTAAACCTGTAGGCTGCCCTAGTTTAAATAACTTTTGAGTGTCTCACAACAATCTGACAAGAAAGTACAATAAAATAAATAAAACACAAAAAGTACAGATAAAATATGTGGCTTGTAAATTGTGGTTTAGGACTTAGTTGTATGTTTGAACAGGTCATTATGACTTGGTTAACAAACCATGGTTAAACAAGTTAAGTTTTGTTGTGCTGTATACACTTCCTATATGTATGCTTCTATGGAGTTGAGGTTAGGCTATAGGACTTGGTTCAAACTGGATCTCTCCTTCAACTTACTATGATTGGTTGGCTTGGCTTGATTCTTTGTTGAATCAAAGCACCCCTTTGAAACAAGGCAGTATATATGCAACTGTCCTTTACATGGCTCACATATGCAGCTGCAACATATTTGCATTGTCTGTAGATGCTTACCCTTAGTCTCTTTAATCTGTGACATAATTCAAAATGTGGCATTCATTTTGTGCCCCTCCCCAGTAACTCCCTATCCCTGTGTTTCTTTTCCCTGTTTTAATCTGAGTAAACTGTGGGCCTACAGTTTAGTTCTAATTTAATATGTTATAAAACATTTAAATTAGACCTCTGCCTTTTAATGATCTACCTTTTTTGGGGGGGAGGGATGACGACAGGAGAGAAAACTGTCAGGAACAGAAAGATTGAGAAGAAAATATACTGAAAAGTGAGAAAAAAGATAATATCAGAAATAAATGAGAGATTTATTTTACCCCCTCTCAGACTGTTATGCAGTAGAGATTTATGGGGAAAAAATGAGACTACAATCATCTTTACCTTCACCCTATGTTTGTTCATTACACAAAAAAAGCAGCCTACAAAATACAAAACAACATTAATCTACAATGCAAGGTTGCCTTCTAATTCTCCTTAGAAAAATTAGGATCACTGGAATTATTTACCTACTTTTTAATAAAGGTCAGTTCCTTGAAATAGGGCTTTCATAAGGATGAAGGTGTAAAGTCCTAGACACTTTAAAAAATACTAATTTAGAACAATAGTGCATATCTTGTTTTCCCCCCATTTTTAGGAAGATGTAATTGTGCCAGATCTATCCTAAAATCCTGCATTTCTGAATTATTTTTATAGGGCAATGCTCATTTCTTTCCTAGAGAAGCTGTATATACAACTATTTCAGCAATTAGTGTATTAGCTCATGGTGTTTATTGGATAATAATTCTGAGAGGTCAAATGAATCTGGCAGCAACTTTTTTTTAGCAACGTGGTTTCAGGTTTTCTAAATCTGTTCTACAAATCTGGGTTTTTCTAGAAAGGAAATGACTTTTCATCCCAAAGACACCATGTATTCAGCCTGGCACCAATATTTAGATACAGGTTGTGGCTTGTCCTTTTGTTTGAAGGCAAATAAAATCTGCACCTGTGTTCAAGGACAATTACTTTGACCTCTTTAGGAATGTTTGTGAATTATGTTACAGGCATTGTTCACTTAAAATGGAATATTTACACAGTTGAAATGCTTGATAGCTTCTGATAACACCACCTTGAAAGGCTGGGAAATTTTCAATGATTCTTCCTGTGCTAGTACTATAGAATCATAGTCCCAAAGGTGCTTTTTTTTCAAAGGGCAACTGGACGTTTTTTGTTTTTCCTTGAAGATGTTTCATTTCTCATCCAAGAAGGTTTTTCAGACTGAATGGTGGAAAATTGAAGGATTTATATTCCTTGCAGTCATCTAGTTATTAGCAATCTCTCTGAGTCATTGAGGCCACTTGGAGATTTATCTGTGCCCTCAGGGTCACCCGAACAGTGCATATAGGTGTGGAACTACGGGAAAGGACTATGTTGTAAACAGAAGATAGGTGGTGTATCCCTCCCTCTCTGTTGAGAAAGGGTTGATCAATTTCAATGGAGATGGTCTCTTTTAAACCAGTGGTCTTCTCTGTCCAGAATGTGGACTTCGCTGCTTCAAAAGTATAATTTTGTGTTTCAAATACAGATGGAGAGCTGAATCTTGACCTGATGGGATTGTTCTCCTATGTTGTGTTATGCGTTTCTGAAGTGATTGTTTGGTTTCTCAGATATGTACATGTCTCACTGTATTGTACTACATATATTACATTGCCCAGGACAATCATGACCTGGCTACCTGAGAATCTCCATAGACAATCATATCACAGCTTGTTGAATGTGAAGGACTATAAAATTATCTGGGGTAGAAAGAGATTGATCAGGGTCAGAGAAAATGGGCTTCCATGTATTTTAGAACAATGCAGAAGCGTAAGATTTGGCATTATACCTGCTGAAACATTATCTTCTGTACAGTAGTAAAATCTATATAACTTCCTTAAATAGAATTAAATTTAAAGTAATCATACAGGTCTGATGATATTTAGTACTGGATTAAATATGTTAGCAATTTTAAAGCATATTTGTCTGGGTCCTAAATATTTTTTGATAGAATCACAAATAGGAAAGTATCTCCAGTTTATAAGAAATGGAAATAAATCAGGATTCCAGAGTAGGCCATGATAAACCTAGCTTAAATATTAAGCTTATTTTCCAATTTTAACTTTTCACTTTTAAAACCTTTTAAAAGCTAATTTCATGTTTACACTAAAGGACATAAATGTGATGCTTTAATAAGTAAAAAGAAGCTGCCCAAGAAATATTGCAAAACGTTTTAAGGGATAAGTGTAGTTTTCATAAGGATTATGTCAAAATGCAGTCTAAAATGTAGTTGTCAAGCTGTAAGGCTGTGATTATAGTTAGACATAATTCTAGTTCAACTGTGTATGTGGGGATTAGACCATAAGATCAGTTGCTAAAAATATTTGATATGTCCCGGGAGGTAGGCCATCTCTGCTATGGTGCCCACCTTATGGAACATTCTTCAGTCCTGAAGTTAGTTTAGCTCAATCTCTGTTAACATTCTGGAAGTTCCTCAAAATCTAGTTATGTCACTAGGTTTGGGGATCCCAGGGAATTAGTAATACACAGATAGTTCTCGACATACAACCACAATTCAACCCAAAATTTCTGTTGCTAAGCGAGACAATTGTTAAATGAGTTTTGCCCCAAAGTCAATGGGGAAGTCAGTTTCACTTAACAACCGTGTTACTAACTTAACAACTGCAGTGATTCACGTAACAACTATGACCTTTCTTGTCACAGTTGTTACGTGAATCACTGCAGTTATTAACTTAGTAGCATGGTTGTTAAGTGAAACTGACTTCCCCATTGACTTTGCTTGTCAGAAGGTCGTAAAAGATGGCTGCATGATCCTGGAAACTGCAACCATCATAAATACGAGTCAGTTGCCAAGCATCTGAATTTTGACCATGTGACCATGGGGATGCTGCAACAATTTTAAATGTGGAAAATAATTATAAGTTATTTTTTTCAGAACTTTTGTAAATTCAACCAGTCACTAAATGAACTGTTGTAAGTCAAGGGCTACCTGTACTCTAAGATCGCTCCGCTATTGGAGTTGATATATTTACTATCTTTCCATCTTATGGTTTCTATATTTTATTTTTTATTGATTTTTAATAAAAATAATAATAATAATCATTGTATACTTTTATATTGATTGTTGTTTGCCACCCAGAGTTGCCCCTGGGGAAATGAGCAGCCATATAAATTTAATAAAAATACATAAATAAAATGCATAGTCTTATGACTAAGGTGATATTTAAGATGATATTTTGGCTTTCTCACATCACTTTTTGATGAGAAATGAAAAATTCCTAATTACAAACAGTTGTTTCTGGTGAATAATAATAATTCTTGCTGAAATCAGTCTATTAGTTATATGCAATGACTAGCAAGAACTTGAGAAGCATGTTTGACTGCAGAGTTGTGGATGTGGGAAAACTGAAGCCTCCAAATACAGGTGAAACTCAAAAAATTAGAATATCGTGAAAAAGTTCATTTATTTCAGTAATGCAACTTAAAAGGTGAAACTAATATATGAGATAGGCTCATTACAAGCAAAGCAAGATAGTTCAAGCCGTGATTTGTCATAATTGTGATGATTATGGCTTACAGTTCATGAAAACCCCAAATCCACAATCTCAGAAAATTAGAATATTGCATGCAATCAATAAAACAGGGATTGTACATAGAACAATATTGGACCTCTGAAAAGTATAAGCATGCATATGTACTCAGTGTGTGGTGGCTCTTGATGCACTGACTCTAGCCTCAGTCCACTCCTTATGAAAGTCCCTAACACTTTTGAATGGCATTTTCTTGACAATCCTCTCCAGGCTACGGTCATCCCTGCTGCTTGTGCACCTTTTTCTTCCACACTTTTCCCTTCCACATAGCTTCCTATTAATGTGCTTTGATACAGCACTTTGGGAACACACAACTTCTTTTGCAATTACCTTTTGAGGCTTTCCTTCCTTATGGAGGATGTCAATGATGGTTTTCTGCACAACTGTCAGGTCAGCAGCCTTTCCCATGATTGTGATTCCTACTGAACCAGACTGAGAGACCATTTAAAGGCTCAGGAACCCTTTGCAGGTGTTATGGCTTAATTAGCTGATAAGAGTGGGACACTTTGAGCCTAGAATATTGCACCTTTTCACAATATTCTAATTTTCTGAGATTGTGGATTTGCGGCTTTCATGAGCTGTAAGCCATAATCATCGCAATTATGACAAATCACGGCTTGAACTATCTTGCTTTGCATATAATGAGTCTATCTCATATATTAGTTTCACCTTTTAAGTTGTATTACTGAAATAAATGAACTTTTGCAGGATAGTCTAATTTTTTGAGTTTCACCTGTACTTGTCTGAAGTCTTTTCAATATGGTGAATCACATGAGATACAAGAGCTAAAGGATAACCATTCTGGATGTATGGATGTGCACGTACACCTCCACTATCTACACGTGGACATATATGTCTTTCTCTTTTTTTGTCTAGCTTGGCGGAGCAACGCTGCTGGGCATCGGCATCTGGGTTACTGTTGACAGTAAATCCTTCCTCAATATATTTGGTGCAATATCTGTCACTGTCCTCCAATTTGTGCATGTTGGGTACCTTCTCATTGCCATTGGAGCCGTTCTGTTCCTGCTGGGTTTCCTAGGATGCTGTGGCGCTCAGAAAGAGAGCAAGTGCCTTCTGATCATGGTAAATTCTGCAAAGCATTTTCATTGTTTGCTGCATAAAAGTGTTGATTGATGCTAAAGTATATTAATGAAACCCAGCACGATGAAGGCATTATTGAAAGCTATTCATTGAGGTCTCTTTTTTTAAAGGAAAAGATCCGAAGTCATTAATCTAGGGATAAAATTTCTATCTTTTTTTGTTAGTAACAAGTTCGTTTTTTTAAAAAAAAAGTTATTTTCTTGATCCCTTAATTTTTATGTAAACAAGTCAATATTTTTAAATACAATCTTTCCTTATTTGTGATTATATTTTTCCTCCTGTTTGGTATCATAAAACTAAGTTGTTATTGGTTTTTTTGAAAGTGCATGTTCCAGTTCCAGTTCTATTGCTGGTAAATGCTGATTTTTATTTCCCGGTTAGATAACTTAACAAGGAAATAAGGTCTTGTTCAAACAACATGCTAAATCTTAACTGTTTTGCCAAGTGTCAGGGCAGCGATTGGTTGCCCAGGCAATTGATTGTTTTGGACTCAGAAACAATGAACCCTCGAGTAAATAAAGGGATTTTAAGCCTGATTATTAGCTCAAGCAAACAGATTTAAAAGCATAACACAAAAAGCATGCATAGCAAGAAAGATAATATCCAGATCTCTTACAGATTGTTAGGAACTCTTTAATAACACCACCAGTTTTGTGCAGAAGCTCCCAACAAACAACAACTTCAAGTTTTCTATTAAAACGACACCATGACTTCAAGGCCCTGGTATGGTCAGGAGAATACAAACTTTGACCTTGGTTTGATGGCAAATAACTCAGGGATGGGAATTGCAAGTCTGAGACTTTAACAGCAAGAAAAGCTTTGAAGTTATATGAAGATTTCCACTTCCCTTCTCCTTTGTTTAGTAAACAAGAGCAAAAGACAGCTTAGCTCAGAATGAGCTCGAAATAATTTTCTTAATATGAAGGATAAATCAAAATGATGTCACTAAACTCATGAAAATATCAATGGTCTTCTACACCGCCACTACAATAACAATTTAGGCTAGTAAAAAGTTCTTCTGAAAAATCTAGGAATCCAAATAAGAAGGTGCAGTGAAAGTAAAAGAAGGAATATGAAGAGGGAGCTTGTTTTATATGAGAAACCCCATATGAAATGGGCTAATTCCCTTTAAAATCTGCTCGTAGCAGTCTTTCAGACTGAGAAAGCTCCTTATAAGCAGCTATTTTCCCAGAGATGGAACACACTTGGCCAAGAGCATCCAATGCTTCATTTTTGTATTAATACTTTGTGGAATAAGCAAACTCATTACTATATTGTCCCCCTTCCTAGTTCTTCACCATTATCCTGATCATCTTCATAATTGAAATTGCTGGTGCGGTGGTAGCTTTGGTTTACACATCACTCGTAAGTATCATGGAGTAGAAGATAGGTTTATTTCAGTATTTCAGGATCTCAAGTAAATACTGACATTCCACTTAGTGTACCCTAAATGTTAGGTTAAGGTAGCTTATGTCTTAGCTTTTGTGTAATATTGGTCTGTCCTTGTTAGGGGAAAATGCATACAGTAAGAGTGCTATTATTATTATTTTCCCCCAAATCTTTATTTTTCTTATACCATATGTTTGCTCTGCACCCAAGACCCATTGAGACCTAAACACACTGGCTTGGGAATGGTGAGGAAGAAAGTTTATTGAATGCAGCAGGGCACAAGCAAGATTGTGCTGCATGACTTGAACAAGTGTCTCCTCTGCATTGTAAAGGAGATTTGGCATTATGTATCCCAATAGCAATTCTTTAGAAATATGTAGAGAAGAATAGCTATTCCCCATTTGACAAAGCATTGATTTGTGAAAAACCCGCTAGATACTTATTTGTGGTTTGCTCTTTACTTTCTTTTTGAAAATTAAGATGTCTTGCTTTATTGCCTTTTTTGGCACTCACCATGATATGTGAGAAGATATGTGATCTCCTAGAGGATTGACTGCTTTTTAGAAGGCTAGATCCTGAAGATGAAACTCAAATACTTTGGCCACCTAATGAGAAGGAAGGACTCACTGGAGTAGAGCCTAATGCTGGGAAAGATTGAGGGCAAAAGAAGAAGGGGATGACAGAGAATGAGGTGGCTGGATGGAGTCACTGAAGCAGTAGGCGTGAGCTTAAATGGACTCCAGAGGACGGTAGAGGACAGGAAGGCTTGGAGGAACATTGTCCATGGGGTCATGATGACTTCGCAACTAACAACATGATATGGGCAGTAACAAAACGAGTTGTAGCACAGACTTGAATTCTTTGCTGTAGAATTACATCTTTGGAACTCCAAGCACTCTCATCTGTGATACCTAAGGGGTTATGAGTAGTCTTTTTTCTTCAGTGCCCGTTGCATTCTTCTGTGATGTTAAGAGGAGATTGACTTGATAAAAAAGTGACATAGCTATGAATGGAAGCTCAATACTGCATGTCCAAGTGACATAGAGATAAATGGAATCACCTTAAGAAGCTCATCACTGAATAACAACAGTGCAGAGAAAATAGATGTTTTCAGGTGTCTCAAAATTTTGGTTTTTATTGGAAGAAAAGGGCTAGGCAACCCATTAGCCCCAGTGCATCCATGGTTAATTTCCTTGACCACTTGCCAGGCTCCTTGAGTATTTGGCCTTATTTTAAAAATATTTTTTTCATTGAAACAGAATAAATGAAGCCGGTATACTGTATTGTCTTGACCTTTAATATCATTTTATAAAAACACAACCCATATCTCCACCTCTGGCTTGTTCCCACATAGACTCAATAAATATTTTTAGAAAATAAAATTGGTGAATGGCTGCATATTTTGTATCTATTGACACCCAAGATAAGCAAAGATGCTAGAATGCCTAAAAAAAGTTGGCGGTGAGCTTTATCACTACATGAGTACCCATTATGGAAGACATTATGTGACAGTGATATTTCCCCAATTCCATATGCATTTAGCAACCCACAAAGGCCATCTATTCCTATATAAAGGGCCTACAGAAGGGAAAGTAGAATCTTAATAATTCCACAGATGCTGAGATGAAAGGATGGCCTTGCACCTTTAATTATATGGAAAGCTTATTATATGTTTTCATATGTTGTGTATAATTCTTTTCTTCTTTTCAGGCACAGACTATATTGCAATCAACAGTGGCAAAAATACTAAAAGATGACTATGGGAAACCTAACCCACTTACTGAAGCATGGAACGTTACAATGACTAATGTAAGTTGGTATTCCAATCTCCATGTTATATGCAAGATTTTTATGAGAAAAGGTAGAAATCTCCCTTATGCCTAAGCAGAAACGATGTTGCTTTCTTTACAGCTGCCAGTTAGTTTTACCTCAAAGCTGGAAGATTGTCTTCATCTCAGAAATTTAATAGTTGTATGATAGTTTATTGAGGGTCATCTTAATGCTTGTAAGGTTTGCTTATAAACAGACAAGCATTAATATAAAAAAAAAGATAATTGCAGTGGGATTCTTAGTGGGTAAGGAGTTTTTATTGAAAATTGTATGTTGAAATAGAATAAATAAATAACAGAATAGGTAATAGAATTGGAAGGATCCTTGAAGGCAGTGATGGGTTCCTACCAGTTCAGACTGGTTCAACTGAACTGGTAGTGGTTTGGCAGCTTGGGTTTCTGGAACCGGTAATGACCCAGGCCTGCCACGCTCCTGTTCTGGTTGTCCTGGCCATAGGCACTGCTTTCTTGTTTTTTGCTTCTGTGCATGCACAGAATAATTTTTATTGCACTGCACATGCATGCATTGTGCGCATCAGGCATGCATGGAGTGGCCACTAGCGAACCCGCAGTAGTAACTGCAGGACCCCTCCCCCCTGCTTGAAGGTCTTCTAATGCAATTCCCCGAGGGTAAATGTGAACTCTAATCTTAATATATGTTTTTCTCCTTAGCTGAAGTGCTGCGGTTTATCAAATTACACAGACTTTAACAACTCCTATTTCTACAAGGAATCAAAGAACTTTTATCCAGGGCAATGCTGCAACTCTTCCATCTCGTCTCTCTCTGACACTTTTTGCAATACAGCTATGGCTGAAAGATTTAATGTGACGGTATGAAAGCATGTCTATTCTGGAGGAAAGTGCACCGATTTTGAGTGGAATAACCTTCAGTGATCTAGTACCCAGATTCTATACTTGGCATTTTTGATGCAGTGTTTTAGGTTTAGGTTTATGGTTTAGGTTTATTAGATTTATATGCCACCCTTCTCCCAAGGACTCAGGGCGGCGTACAACATTAAAA